AATTTATTTAAAAATTAATATTACAACTTTTAATATATAATGTTTTATGAAAAAAACAATTCAAAAATATTTCAAATTTTCAAAAAATTCAAAAAATAAAATATCTTGTAAGTAATGACATTTTAATATTTATTAAAATTAATTAATTTATTATTTATAATTTATTAATTTATTACACTGTATGCAACTTTTGATTTTCTGATTTCAATATTCATCAACTTTTATATAAAAATTTTAAAATGATTTTATGCAATTATTTATCAATCTTATATTCTTTTTTTATCTATCTTTCATTTTTCTTATTATCTTTATTATTTTATTTAAATTAATGTATTATTTCCATTTGCTTTGATATCTTCTGTTTTGAATAGTATATTACATATACATTTTACATTTTGTCTTTCATTTAATACATTAACAAAATTGGATGTAGAACAATTTCATTATAAGCACAGGAAATAGGAATGTTTTAGTTAAAAAGGATTGTGTTTATATGATTCAAATGACCAGATTATATTTTCAATCGAATGCGTTTGTTCATAAAATAATTATATTTTCATTGCAACATTTATATGATGTTCTACTGACAATTTTCATTTGTTCATCACTACAATGAAATCATTCATTCACCTATTCGTTTTATCTATTATATAATCATTTATTCTTTCTATACATAATCTTTTCACACGTCATTAAAAATACAAAATCTTCAAAACATATATTCTCTAAGAATATGTAAATATCATACAATTATCATATATTAAACAAAAAAGGGGAAAAAAAAAGAAACAAAAAACGAAGAATAATGATGAGTATCATGAAATATAATAAGGAACCATAAAATAATGCATCTCATATTTTGTTACTATTAATTAATTTATTTTAAGAAATTAATAGTAAAAATAATTTAATTTAATTAAAATAATGTTTCTTAATATTAAAATTCGAATTAATGTTATTATCAACTATAAAAAGATATGATGATTAAAAAATAAGATGATTTAAAATAATAATAAGCAGGATGCATTATTTTTTATAAAATGAACACATATGATCTAATATGTACACGGTTCATATATCACACACATTTCGTGACAACAAATGTGTACACAACATTAAAATAGAATGTTTCAAAAATTCACAGATTTTATGTTATATATTAAATCAAGTAAAAAATGCTTATTTATTTTTACTTAATTATTAAGCAAGAATTACATATTAAAAATTTTATATATCAGTAAGTTATAAAATTATAAATTATTTGCTAAATTATTGCTAAAATTATAAGTTATACGATATGAAAAATTTCATATAAAAAAATAATTTTATGATTTTGTAAATATTATAAAATTAATAAATACATCTTTGTTTTTTATTAATCATTTTTTATTAATATTTACTATTTTATTAAAAATGAAATTTAAAAAGATAGAGATTAAATAAAGAAATTTAATATAATTTTTGTAATTAATTTTTTACTCAATTTTTTTACTCAATTATTATTTTTATTATTGAAAATCTGTAAATTTCTGAATCATTTTAATAGCCCTTAATATGAAAATCGTGTTTAAATCATTCAACACAGACGCACAATAAATTATAAATAATAATAATAATAATGATGATGATGATGATGATGATGATGATGATGATGATGATGATGATNCGATGATGACGATGATGATGACGATGATGATGATGATGATGATGATGATGATGATGATGATGATGATGATGATGAT